ACGCCACTTCTTTCCTGCTGCCCTCCCCACTGGGCCTGGTGCAGCGCCAATGCCAGATACCAAGGATCCGGACATGTCATACAGCTCCAATAATCCCCTCATCTGGTCAAATGTCTACGTACACGCTACCACACTATGCACCGAGCGCCTACCCCTTGAAGTAGCAAAACAGTACCAGATTATAGCAATCCCTAGGGGGGACTGCTCATTCTCGACCAAGTTGCACAACATCCCCGCTTACCCACCTAGCCCCGCCTCTCTCCAATTAGTCGTCATCGTCAGCTTCCCAGAACACGAGGAGAATAGACATCCTGATCCAACGCAACCTCCTGTGCAGCCGCTGCTTGATGATGTGCAGCATACGCCAACGGGCATATTGAGACCAAATCCTATCCCAATGATTATGGTAGGTGGAGGGGAGGACACAATCAGGCTACTAAGAAGGGCGAACGGGGTGGGGATAAGGAGGAGGTATTACTTCCGTAGTCAAGGCGTGAAGATTGGCAATCTGATTGTACTCTGATGGTACAGCGCAAGTAGCTGTGTATGAACTGTTGAGACACCCAGGTCTATGTACGTAAACTCCCGGAATAGACACATGGTACGCAAGATTGAAATTTCCTGTACGTGAGGCTTGGGCCAGATATAGGACTGCAAAAGACACCACATAATAGCACGGTATACATCCGCATGAACTGCAGGTGAGACATATACTGAATTTGCGCACCCACAACTAGACACGGCGCACAGCAGGAATAGGTCTTGCAAACTCCATATGTTGAGCGAGATGGCACGGAGGCGACATTGCCCGATGGCTGCTTTAGTGACAAGGCGTGACAAGTGTGGGATGCCGCATGGCTTTGACAACGTCGATCCGTGGCGCCATCCTATCGTCCGTGATCAGTATACATGTTCACGCGCCTCCCTGTTCGTCGCAGTCCTCAAGTATCAAAAGATACAGTCCTTCTTATCTATATGCGTCCAGGAGTGTAGGGGGGGCCTTCCGCTAAGCTAGTTCTCTTGGCACGCTTCATCTCGCGCTGGAGTCCCTCCAACCACATCTCCCGCCTGCGCTTTGTCTCCCTTCAAAAGGCTCCCGCGATACCCTGCATTTCCGTTGCAGCCACATGCGCCGTTATGTTGCTCGTTCGATCCTCTCTGGGCAGCGATCGTAATTCCACGGAGCGGGCCTCGAAAGCCACATCACGGACACACTACCGCTAAACAGGCAGGCGACCAATGCGCCCAGCCCTACTATCTTTTCACTACAGCTGCGGCTACACCGAAGTGTCTAATTAGTCCTTCCGTCATGCACCTATCCAGTGTCAGAAGACTTGTGTACGAGACAAGTTGTCTGCCGGCGCCTCCTCGTGTTTGTTGGCAGTCTGCAAAGCTCCGATTTTACGGGTTCCTGCAGGCAAAAACAAAGCAATGACACGTCTGTTCTTCGTTTTCTCGGATGGAACGACGGCACGCTACTTCAGGGGCTCCGTCGCTGCCGTGTCCAATACCGCGAATGCGCCTTTGCCTGCTCCATGTGAACGCATGAAACATTCGTGATCTCCCGAGCCATGGCTCTATCCGGAAGGTCAAGATCGTCGCCTCCGGCATCCAATGCAAGATATAATGCCCAGGCCAATATAACCAGGGTCAAAGAAGCTTGCCTGCCTATTTAACAACGTCGCCAAGCCTCCGCTCTATCATTTTCCTACCACTGCACCGGTCGACTACGCGTGGAGTTAGGCCAGGAAAGGAAGCCAGTGATCGTTCCCTTGTCGCGTGGGCAGTCTACTAACGTACGCGCCTGGTGTTGAATCGTTTACTCGCTCCATATACTCGAACGGGTCAAGGACGGAGTGTGGAGAGTCGTTCGGGGTCAAGTGTGGCGAGGACCAGGTCATGTATAAGAGGAGTGCTATACTGTTTCAAAGCTTTCCTTTTGAGCACATCTTCTGTCCCTAGTCTATCATTTCTACTTCACTCGTTATCACGATGCGTTCCGTCCTCCTCGCGTCGCTGGCTTCGCTGTCAGCCATCAGCGTCTATGGCCACCCTCAACCCACATGGCAAGGCCGAAGCACACTTGCTCGTCGTGCTGTCGACCTGGACTCATACCGCCTGAAGCACGCTGCCTCGTACAAGAACACGGCCGACGTTGTGGCTGATCCTAACATCAACACACTTGCGAAGCGTGCTAGTGCCGAGGACATTGCCACCGACCTGGTCAAGGCTACGCTCCCCGATGCTGAGTTTCGTCTTGTCAAAGACTCTTATGTCGGCGATAACGGAGTAGCTCACTTCTACTTCAAACAGACCGCCAACGGTCTTGACATCGATACAGCTGACTTTAACGTCAATGTAAGTTGATGAACCTCTAGATTTCGCCCAGTCCCACATAACACAAACATGCTTTTCATCACCCGAAATCATTGGTTGACAACTAGCAGGTTGGTCGTGATGGCAATGTCTTTTCTTTCGGAAACTCATTCTACAAGGGCGCCATCCCAGCACCGCCTAGTTTGAGCAAAAGGGATGGTGCCGCGCCTGCCAATGCCCTCAAGTCAGCTGTCAATGTCCTTGGCCTGCCAATTTCCGCTGAATCAGCTATTGCTGAGGCGAAGGAAGCTGCCGAGACTTATGCTATCAAGCAAACCACTGGATGTGTCAGTGAGCCTGAAGCACGTCTCGTCTACCTTGTCGATGAGGAGGGAAAGCTCGCTCTTACCTGGAGAATCGAGACTGATGTCATGAGCAACTGGCTTCTGACATACGTCGACGCGGAAGATGGCGAGAAGGTACATGCCGTTGTCGATTACTCTGCGGACGCTACCTACAACGTCTAGTAAGCAGCAATGACCACGATATGTCTGATCACCACTAACAATTTCCAGCCCCTGGGGTATCAACGATCCGTTTGAGGGAGACCGTCAGCTAACGGAAGATGACTTTTCTCCCAAGGCTAGTGAATTCGGATACCACAGCGATGGCACTACGTCATTCAAGACAACCCGTGGCAACAACGGTATTGCCCATACCAACTGGGAGAACGTGAACAGCGGTTTTCTCAACCTTCCCCGTCCTGTCAGCGAGTCTCTGACCTTTGACTACCCCTTCTCGCTTAACGACACCAACTGGAAGGGTTATGCCAACGCCTCTGTCACCCAACTCTTCTACACCGCCAACAAGTACCATGATGTTTTGCACACACTAGGTTTCAACGAGAAGGCTGGAAACTTTGAGATCAACAACAACGGTGCGGGTGGTGCTGGCCAAGATTTTGTCTACCTCAACTCTCAGGATGGCTCAGGCCTGAACAATGCCAACTTCGCTACACCACCCGATGGTCAGCCAGCACGCATGCGCATGTACATCTGGAACAGCACGACTCCTTACCGCGACAGCTGTTTCGACGCCGGTGTTGTTATTCACGAATACACGCACGGCCTCTCCAACCGTCTAACTGGTGGACCCGCAAACGCAGGATGTCTATCTCTCCTGGAATCTGGTGGCATGGGAGAAGGCTGGAGCGATTTCTACGCAACAGCTATCCGTCTCAAGCCTGGTGACACTCGCGCCACCGACTACCCAATGGGAGACTGGATCAGTGGCCGTCCACTTGGAATCAGGAATTACCTGTACTCCACAGACCTGAACCAAAACCCTCAGGTATACTCCGACGCAGACTCGTACGAGAAGGTCCACCCCATCGGTAACATTTGGGCGTCTATGTTGTACGAGGTCCTCTGGAACCTCATTGATAAGCATGGCAAGAACGACGACTGGCTACCTACCTTTGACGACAACGGTGTGCCGACTGATGGCAAGTACCTCGCTATGAAAGTCGTCATGGACGGCATGGCACTTCAGCCTTGCAACCCTACTTTCGTTTCTGCTCGCGATGCCATTGTGGATGCGGACAAAGCGCTTACGGGCGGCAACAACCTTTGCGAGATCTGGAGTGGATTTGCCAAGAGAGGTCTGGGCGAGGGTGCGGTATATGCGCCCACAGGAAGGACGAACAGCTTCGACATTCCTGAGGGTGTCTGCGGCGCTGGAAACTCAACTACTAAGCTGCACAAGAGGCGCGTTCAGCCTGTCGACCTGAAGTACTAGACGTCGGGATTGCCTTTTTTTGACACGTGGATGGTGTTGATTTTACTATCAAGAGTGATGATGTCTGCGTGGCAGAGAGCATTGAGCGGAGTTTTGCATGTGGCGAGATCTTGACGATGATGATACCTGCATTGGGTGGCGTTCATAGGCACAATGTGCTTCTTTTCTTAATGATTAATCAAGTTCTTCTATCGACGCCTCAATCTCCTTTTCGCTCCGTCTCTTTCCAGGAGTTGCAGCCAATGATCAACGTGATTAACGTCCACACCTGCGCCATCGGTTCCTCAGCTCCATTCAGCCCCAATGCAGCATACCACATCCTCGGTATCCGAACTCAAGCGCTAAGCCAGGCTAGCACAGCGCTGTAGATCCGTCATTGTGTCAGGCAAAACCGGTAAAGAGTGTATGAACTAGCATATCATCGGGAACCGTGCATATCGGACCCCACGTGTGAAAGTCAGCGTGAGTTCGGCAGTTGGGGCCTTGCCAAACGCCTATCATGGCGTCTTTTCCCGCCCCCACGTTCCTGGTTCATGTACCGCAACTTTGTAGTGCGCTGGCATGGTATGCACGTGGGTTTACCCACAGGCAGGTATGCTAGTCGGGCCCTGATACCAGGTTTGGGGCTTTGAGGGGTTAGACGCGGTGATGGACTCCGTGTCTAAAGAAGTAAGTGCATGGGCAATAATGCAGTTCTACACAGAGAGATCGGTTGAGCGCAGCCTGATGTATCTTTGTTATACGCATTCTATACATGCACGTGCGGTGAGACTGATATTGTAAATCGCTGTAGAATTGTGATCAATGCAATGAGGCAAAGCGGTGACGATGTTGTATCTGAAATAGGATGACCCCAGTACCTCTACTCAAGAAACATGCCAGTAGACTTATCTGATGGCTTTCGAGGTTGCATCATGTTCGGTAGCATCCTCGTCCAAATCGTCGTCCCATTCATCCCTCCTGACACCGCTCTGCTCAGCGACTGAAGTAGCAGTACCAGGTGGTGGCGCATCATCATCGCTCTCATCTTCGAACGCGGCAGGGTCGGCCAACGGTTGGCTTTCTGGGTCCACGTTGGCTCTTTCTGGAGTCGTTCGCTTCGGCGCACCTTCCACACCTTCGTCTGCTGACACAGAGATGCCTCTCCGGCCCCACTTGTTCTTGGGCTGTGTGGTGTCGTTGCGCTGTCCAGCAGTCTCCTCGTCGTAGTCGAAATCCATGCTCTTCCTGCTCACGAAGCGTCCAACAATCCATCCGCGACCGAGGTCATCCGAATCTACCACGCCGCCATGGCGAAGCTTCACGCGCTGTCGCGTCCAGTACACCCACGCAAAATCGATTATGAGTGCTGTCTGTATGGTACCCCACACCCAAGACGTAGGGTCGCGATAGCCGGGTTCTTTGGCGCCACGCATGATCCAATTCAAGACATAGAGGAAGCGGTATGTACCGAGTGTGACGAGATAGAAAGAGTCGAGGACGGTGGGCACAGTAGTTTGTCGGAGGAGGAGGAGTTGTGGGATAACGCAGACGGACTCGAGGATTTCGGAGAAGACCCAGAGGACCTGCGAATGTTAGTGGTCAATTTGTGGAGGAGCGGGACCAGATGTTACCTTGAGGAAGGCGTTATGCCCAAGAAGGGTATCCTTGACGATGAGGTACCAGAACGGAGTCATGAGTACGCTACCCAACAGACAGTACATGCCAAACTTCCATGCCTTCTCGCGTTCGCGTGTGCGTGCGTATACGCTCGTCATCAAAAAGATGATGTACAGTGATGACAGTGTGTAGAAGATCTGACGGGTTAGCCGCGTCCGCGTTGACGTATGCCAGCTCTGCGCACCTTCAACGAGAAGTTCCACGTATGCCAGCCATCCTTGGTCGCCGAAGAAGTGAAGATATCGAGATATCGCGTGCCGAAGACAAGCGCATAGAGGACTTGAGTGATGAGAGAGACACCTGCATACGTCAGCTCATGTTACATGCTTCAAGTGGAGATTGAGGCCAGCTCACCCTCAGCACTGCTGTTTGAGTGTATCGCCCATATCAGTATGAGCTTTGATGACGTATGCGAGACGTCGCCGAGGATGTGAAAGAGGTTGAACCCCATCTTAGGGACGAATAATGCTATGCGACGGCTACACAGCACTAGGCCAGCCGCCTGTCGCCGGCGTGTTGGGGCTCAAAGCGCGCTTCCGGCACTCTGTGCCTGTGTGAGGGTAGTCGATAAAGAGATACCGATGCCGATATATCCAGCACCAGTTCCGGCAGGAGCTGGTGTCGAAGTTAGGAAAGAACGCGTAGTTGATGGCGTCTGTTGGATGGTGATGCGTAATGTCTTCCCCGGGTTTGACGCAAGCTACCACGCTACATGTAACGTGCTTGGCAATCCATTCCCAAGGGTCCATGCTAGTGCGCCAGAAGCAGCTTAGTGGCCAAGCTAGTATGGAGAATGGGTACGCAAGGCTGAGGACTGCAAATCCAGTCTGGAAAGCTGTGCTCTAGCTTTTAGGTATCAGAGACTACCCAGCCATCTTAGCCAGTGCCTAGATGCTACTGTGGAACGTGTCCCCCGCACGCTTACCTACTTGTGTATCTTGACAGGTTGGTGGTCCATGCACCACCTGGATATAGACTCCCGACCGCTTGGTCGAATTCTCATCGTAGCCTTGCAGACCACCGATAACACATTTCTTCTTCATGCACTATGTCTTCTAATCGACATGAAAGTGATATGAATCTAGCGCGTATATCACGTACATCGCTGGGGCCGCAGGAGACACTTCAACATCTGGCAGTCGCTCCAGTGCATCATACATACGATTGTCCCAGTCCTGCGCTTGTACGCGATATTTATTGATTCATAGGAGATCAAGAGACTGGCTCTATTCGTGCTACAAGAACAGCACTGTACCGCAGTGTATGACACAATAAGAGTCGGGCGGTGTGAGGCGCAGCGAACGAGCCGAGCAGAGATCGTGGCTCGAATTACGCCCGGGTCTATTCCAGAACGCAAAGCTCGCAACTCCTGGTAACCACTTCCCAAGCTTCATCGCGAGCCTCGGATGCACTAAGGCGGTCAGTAAATGAACTACAGTGCCGTATGAGCGTCGGTGCATTTGGCGGCGAAGATCATGGAGGCTTGAATCAGGACTCCAAGGCCTCCAACGTGGCGCACACGGAACGGATGGCACCATCCTTGGGCCAGGTACAAGATCCTCCAATGCATACTTCGAGAAGGTAACATGTGTTCCGTATCTCGGCTGGTGAACATGCCGCCGAAGTCAGTGAGACTTGCAGTAGCCGGGATGTGAGTGGCCAACTTCGACACTTCGCAATACCTTAGGCACAAAGGTGTATGGAGACCCCAGGAAGTGTGCAGCAGGAGCATACACGACGTAGCCTTTGATGATACTTATGGTATCGCTAGTCCGTACACTATCGCTGTGCTTGTTCGTGTACAGCTGGTTCGTTTTAGTTATCAAATGCGTGAGCCAAACTGAACAAGGCAGATTTTGAGTCCAGCAGAACGCATGCGGCCTCAGAATTGAAGGACAAGGTGAATGGCGACAAGAATGTAGCTATATCAAGTGTCAAAAGGCAGTGCTTCAAGGTTTGGAGCCGCCGTATGCTGCGGTCGCAGGTTCAGTGCGCAGCCGTCGAACAACAACCAACGCTCCGCTCTACAGAATTCCCTTCTGGGTAGCTTTTCGACACAAATGATGTCGCAAGCATTCTACCGGAATGAGCCGTTGATCAAACGCAGCTACCAATGTGATGAGCAAAGATTACCGTTGAAGGACAACAGCGGAGCGGGGTTTTCGGGATTGGACCGCTGCAAGACAATGTCTTTTAGCCGTTCAACAACGCACAGCCCAGATTGACTAGTAGGATGGGACCGTGGTGGTGGGGTGTGACACCCACTGAGCGTTGTGCGGAAGGTCTTTGTCGGCGGTTCTCCACGGAACAAGTCCCGTGGTGTGGGGCGAAAGCGACATGGCATGTCTATACGCTAGCTAGCGACGTGTTGTCGATAGTAGTGGTGGCAGTGATCTTCGCCGATATCGTGGATAGGTGCTACTTGAGAGGTGCGAAGAAGAGGAGGTGAGTTGGAAGGGGACGGAAGAAGCGAATTAGCGGTCTTTACCCAGCCGAAGCGTATATTAGCGGCCAATAAGAATTACCTCAAACATGCATTTAAGCGCCTTTGAGTCCTTCGCTCTCAGCTTACCCACTACACGCGGGGCAATTTACTGGCTTTAAGGTACGTCAACGGCACAGCCATCCAGGCGCACCGAATGGGAAGACACGGCTGGCCAAATTTCCTCGTTGCTGCGCGATGGAGTGCGACCCTTGTTAACGGCATCCCATGGCGCCGCCAGCACGGACAAGTTCTCCAATATCACGCTGCATCGAAAAGAGATTATCCTGCTGGGTAGCGATTGTGGGAGCAGTCTCAGACGTCAGGGCCGACGTCAAGGGTGGCCGCCTTACTGAAGGTTACATTCGACTTTCACCTCCAAAAACCACCTCTAGGCGCACTAGCTACTATGTAGTGTAGCGGACACACCCTTGCTGGCCAGATGTATAGCGGATTCCGATAGCAAGGCTGCACCGACGCCCACACGGTCATGATCACCGCCGTTGCAGGACACCACCTAGAAACCCAGCACAGCGTTCCGGGTCAGCAAATAGGCCGGACACAACCGTGAGCAACCATGCATGCCTGGCCAATTCGCGGCTCAAGCGCAAGGCATGGCATGCCGGGGTCGAGGCCGCCAAACCGCGAGGAGACAAGAGAAGAGCAGGGTGAAAGCTCGGGGCGCTAACGTGCAGGCCTGACAGTCAGTGCGCAGCAGCAGCAGCATCCTTCAAAGC